GAAGTTGACTGGCGAGCCGTTAGGCGAGCCTGTCATCTCCCAGAGCCAGTAAAAACTATTACCTGGCGTATAATGTACAATATTTTATTTGTTACTCATTTGTAAACGTAAATAATTAGTTCTTAAATTGATCTTGAAGAAATGTCTAAAATATCATGTGATCCATGTAACAGAGACTTCGCATTAATTCTGGCCAATGAAATTACTAACTTGTAAAATTTTTACAGGTCTGCTGTCAGTTTTACAAGTCGGTAGCGTTTAAACATGACGTTTACCCGTTTTGCGTTTTGTCTTGTTAATCAACGTTTACAACTGAGTAACAAATAAACTTTTTAACTGAGGATAGCTTGGGTGAACATTTACCGTCCTCTGTACATACAAATATTACGACATTTCCAGCTTTTTTGTAATCAACCACTTCTTTGGGTTTTTCTACTTCTGTAACTCTTGCGTTCCCGCTTGTTGGACGTGTTCTATTCTTGTTTTGAATTGTAACAACAATAATCGTATAGCTATCTCGATTTTTTTGTTTTCTATTCTTCTTTGACAGCGGATTTTCTTAGTTTCTTCTTTTGTCTCACTGGCTTTTCTAATGTGTTAGGTTTCTTTGGACTCTTTGCAGTATGCAGCTTCTTCGGTTTTTGCGGATTATGTATATGCTTCACCCTTTCGGTTTCTTCGGCAGAGCCAATAGTATAGAGGAGCTGCTGGGCAAATTTTACAAACGACTTATGCTTTTATATGTAGGGAACATACTACAATTCGTAAGATCAAAAGCTCCGTTTGCGTCCTCACTCATATAGTACCGCACCAGGCGCTAAATATAACGAATCGCGTTATAATATCCATCTTCATCAATCTATGGCTCAGTGGTAGAGCGTTGGGATACATAGCCCGAGGTCGGGTGTTCGAATCTGGACTGAGGTAAGAACTTTTCATCTGTGACAGAGATGGGAATTTTCTTAAATCAGTTTCGATCATCTGTCGGCTACTCCGAATTAGGTTTTCCTGCAGTTTTCCTAATTCGTAAGGTAATTACCGGGAATAAACATATCGCCGGTTACAGTACCCCCTTTTTTTTTTAGCTAACTGAACAGTTGAATCGAAAACAACATACTCAGAGTTTTTAGAATACACAAAAAATCTCTATCAGAGTCTTCCAGGCTCATACCAGATTGTTTCCAGAACTTTAGTGATCTTTCTACTACATTTCTAGGGCCTTTCTGCATAGTATATTGAAGCTTTAGTAGCTCTGAGGAGTGCTCATAAGGATCTTGAAAGCTCTAGAAAAGATTTTCTGAGCAATCAAAGGCTCTCACAGCGAGTTCAGCACAAACTTAGGCAGAGTGGTGAACTTACCCCTTCATACCTTTACTCTGCCTAGGTTCCTGCTTTTGATTTCAAAACTATCACTTACCTTGGAACCTGAATAAGGTATGTCTTACCCCATCATACATTTACTCTGAGCTGCTTCTAATTTTTCTACTCTCTTTTGTAAGATACTACTTTCTTCACCGTACTCTCCTACTCCTCTAGGCTTCCTTTAATTATCGATTTACTTTCCATCTTCTTCAATTTTTTGCTTCACTGGATGTACGTCTTGAATTAATCTACTTAAATTTTCTTCTCTACCGTAAATTTCTTCATCTATGTTACCCCGCATCTTCCAAAAAATGTTGAATTACTCCCCTCACCTTTCCTAAAACCATTGGTTTGGTGGGTACTTTCTTCTTCTGTATTATCCATGACTTTTCTTTCATCTTCACTTGTTATTGCTTCATTAATTTGTAACTTATTTTCTTCAGATGTTGGTCTTGTAAAATATTTTACAAAATTGATTAATTGTTGTTGTTCCTGGTATTGTTGCTGGCCAATGAGTCCAGTCGAATTTAGTTTTCGTGATTGTCTCCGCAATGCTGATCGCCGACAGTATCTCCATGTTGCATGGTCATCGTAACCTCTTCTGTATGGTCCATCATTTTCCCCTCCACGTCCGTAATTGACGTCTGGTGATAATTGTTTCGGTCTTGGTAATTTTTTTGATCTTGATCTCTTGATTCTAATCTGTTCAGTCTTGTAAATAATAGTGCTCGTATTCGGGTTGTTACTAATGCCTTCTTTTATCTCGTCAATTCTACCCTATTTCTTCCTACCTTGCTTTCTCGACCAGTTATCTTTTGATTGGTTATTTTTTCCTGTCTGGTTATCTTGTGTTCTATTTTCTTGATTTTGTAGTCCACTTACTGTGTGAATGCAACGTCCTGCTGATGTAAGCCTTCAATCTTCTTTTCTTGCAAAACCTTTTTGTCACATTCTTCTTTTTGATCTCTTATTTCACTTCTTCCTTTCTTTAGATTTAATAATCTGTTGTGTTTGTTGCTCTTCGTTTTCCTCTTGTTATTGTTGTTTTCGTGCTTATTCAATTTGTCCTGCTTTCATTTCTTGTAGTATTTTCACTAAAATTCTATGTCTTGGATTTTTGTATTAAACCTTTATTAGTTTGTGTATCATCCATTTTTTATTCTGGATTGTTCAATCAGCTTTCTTAATACCGGACCGTAATCTTGATAAAATCGCATAAGCCGCAGGGCAATTGTCACTTTGACAGCGGCAAAAGTTACCTGTAACTTATTCATTTTCGAACCAAATATCGCATTATCCTTTCCCATATGACTAGATGACGTCTGTCAATAATTGATTAGTTTGGTGAATTTCTTGTTCGTTAAATTGTCCTGCCGAATTACACTCGAGGTTTGTATTTAAACCGAGTAAATTTGTGTTGCTGCAATTCAAATCTGTTGCCTTTTAGCAACTGAAGTCGAAAATCTGTCAACCTAAAAATGCTCCACCTTCGGTGTCGCATTTTTATTAGTTGACAGTTTTTCTCGTCTAATTGCTAGGCAACAGATTTTCATTACCTAAACAACCCCAATTTACTCGGTAAAATACAAACCTCTTGTGCAATTATAAGTGAATAAAAAAATACCATAAGAAAAGAGTGCCATTTGAAATAAGAAAGTTTCGGTATCGTTCTGATACAACCGTAAAAGCGGCCATCTTGAAAATATTTGTAAATGAATCCTTTTGATCGATTATTCAAAAAAAGTAATGAGTCCCGAATCAAAATTACAAACCGTTCCTGAGATACTTCTAATGGTCCACTTACACCACCCTGTATACCTATACAGTATGTAATGTATATACAAGGCGATTCATAAGAAAATCTGAATTTTAATTAAAGAAACAGAATAGAACCATATGGGTTATATCAAAATGAAGCGTATTAAAGTAAGTTTTTTTTACTAGAAAATAGGGATGTTCAATATGACCCCACTCGAGACATATAGATACGATTATACGTGCGCGGCTGCCCGGAACTTTTCCCTTTGCACAAATAGACAAACACTCCTCTTCTCTATGAACTGTTTAATGTTTATATCAACGTTTGATACACCATCTATAAGGGGATTGAACACCATACTTTGTACACACTGACTGTTGTCAATTATAAATTATTAACTTTTTGAAGGTAAATACTTGTTTTTATTTAACATCCCTCTCAGCACTAGGTACTGGTAACTAATATAAGGTGTGACTAGGACTTCCCTCATCTTAAACACCTTTTTATTTAACCACAATAAGGGTTGATTTTTA